TGGAGGATTATGACTGCCAACCTAGACACCCTTTAGTTCAACTTTCTAAAAGCAAAGTACTTCCCAGCTGGCGGCCCCGTGTTTGTCTCGGCGATCGGGGCCTCGCAGTTTTGGAAAGAATTAGTCAAAGTTAGGGAGGTGTTTCGTCTCCTTGTTAAATTTGTGGTCAATGATGGGGCTTCGACCCGTTTCTGGTTGGACTGGCGGACCAGGGACGCTCCCCTTGCGACCTCCTTTCCGGTTTTGTTTTCTTACTGCTCTAATCCTGAGATCTCAATCTCTGAGCTCTCGCGCAATAGATGGGACCTGGGTCTTCGGAGAACCCTCTCTCCTAAAGAGTTGGGCGACTGGCATCGTCTTGCTGCTATGTTCCCTGTGCTCTCGGAGGAGGCGGATTCCGTTACTTGGCCTCATTCTGCTTCTGGGAAGTTTTTGGTCAAGTCTTTATATGCTCGGAGAATTACTGGTTCCAACTCCTCGGAATTTAAGCCTATCTGGGAGGCCAGGATTCCTGCTAAGATCTAAATCTTTCTATGGCAGGCCTTTAGGGGTCGGTTGCCATCCGCCGATCAGATCCAGAAAAGGAACGGGCCAGGGTCTGCTTACTGTGCTTTATGCTCCTCTCTTGAGGATACTAATCATACCTTCTTCCATTGTGTTTTGGCCAAGCTAGTTTGGGGGTGTGTACGTTCCTGGTACACTACCTCCTGGGCCCTGGCTCCTTTGCTGATGTCCGTTTGTTGACGGCCGAACTACATGGTGGTTCAAGGAGACTATTTTGGACCGGATTGGGCGCCCTTTGCTGGGCGCTTTGGACTACTCGTAACAAATTCACCATCGGGGGTGTCTTCCCCAATAAGCCTGCTGATGTCTTGTTTAAAATGTCTATGCTTACTGCAGCATGACGACCTGGAGATGTTGATCGACAAAGTGCGGGCGTCTGCTAATTTGATGTCTTCTCCGTCCGTTGGCGCTTCATCGTAGCTGCTCGGATCTTTTCTGTGCGGAGGTGGTGGCCTGCATTCCCCTATGCTATTTTCAGGCCTGCGTGCCGCTGAACTGTTGCCTTATTTCGTTACCCAATGTGGGGTGGTTCGTGTGACTTTGGGTGGTTTGTGTTGGTTCGCTGGATGTTGACTCTCTCCGTACGGAGTCTTCAGAATATATCCATGGTAATAGCTTCAACCTGAACATCTACAGTAGGCAGAATAATCATCTATCTTCCTCAAGACATATGTATTATTTTGAATCTGAACACCTAATAGGTTGCGGAAAGCTGCATTATGGTAATCATACATGAAGAAGCTACTTACTTCAGTTAATTCTACTAGCAAAAAAGAAAGCTGCTCATATCAGTTATATACTCCCTCAATAAACAAATATAAGACCTTTTATAGATCACTACTTTAGGGAGTACATAGCAGTTTCAACGCCCGAGCTGCTTCCCATCTTTGATAGATCAAGCAAGGAGCAAAACAGAGACAAGCTTTTCTAAAGTAGACAGATAATCAGACATTGAACCATCTAAAGAGTTACGTTCCGTTTTAACTGTCATGCAATTCCCGATTTAATCTGCGCTGTTGAAATGACTGGGGGCAGAGAATGATTATAGACAAGATGCAACCTCAAACCATCCCAAGGTAAAAATTACACCTAAGAATGCAACCTCCTGCTGCCCAGTTACTATAATTTCAAGTATGGTTGTCGTCAGGTCCCATATCTTCAGCAACACATAGCTGAGTCAATGATGAGTACTCTGGCCCGTATGAACCATGAAAAAGTAAGTAAGTATTGCACAAGCAGCAGCAAAGAAAAACTGACTCTCACTCAGGACAAAAAAACATGTGTGGATCATGATCACATTCAATCGACGGCGATGCCATGCTTTTCAAAACATAGCTGACATGCACACTCAAACACACAAGTTTTGGTGATACTTGGGGCTGAAACTATCATGGCTCAAGAGAAGAGAGGCGAAGCACAAACACCTAATAAAAAACGAGACGACAATATCAGACTTGACAAGGGTACTTAGCTGAAATTCACTGGATTAGGTATTCAAAACATCTTGCCGGATTAGGCACTTGGCTAGACTAAGGAGCGCAAGTTTTTTATAGATATAAACACTGCTGGAAACATTGAAGCAATACGGCAAACTAAGCGATAAGTAACTGCAGCAGCCCTTCTTCACCTGGGGAAAACAAAAGCGCTAATCTGTTACTAACATGATACAGATACAGAGAAAACGTAATAGTAGCACCTAGGAGTACGCAGCAGTGTATAAACAAGCCATGTGTACAAACTCATGATCATCTCAGCAACATAAAGATATAATACCCCCTAAAAAGGAAGAGCAATATCTTATCACTAGCTATATCTCTTCAGAATACCGGTGATGACAAAAATTTCAGCCTATTCACACGAATTTGTTAGGTGCTGGAGTTGAATGATGTGACTGATATTTGTAATAGCAAAATAGGCTACAAATATACATTGCTTTCAAATTAAGATAATATAAAAGCTAAATCAAAGGAGAATCTGGGCATGCAACATTTGGATCAGCTGCATACCATATATGATAATCCAAAAGAGTCATTTTTTATTTAGCATCACCACCATTTTTAATTGTTTGTCAGGGTTACTAGCATGTGTGAATCCCTATATCTGAATGGACAATAGTTTGAGATCGCATGCTACCCACATTGGGCGTATTTTACAAAGAGAAAATCAAAACAGTTCAGATCTCACAAACAATATTCAGAAGATTTTCTTACCCATTCAACCGTTTCAGCACATTAGAACATCAAAAGAGAGTAGGAGACGTCATCCTATGCATCATGCAACATTTCAGCTCCATTGTATCCACCAACAATGGCCGGGCCTAGAAGCATATGGCATGCATTTAATAAGTTCCAAGAAAAAGACAAATGAATATGGGAAGGCAACAATAATTCTGTTACATAGATGAGTTGAAAAATATAAGAAAATAACTCACTACTGTATTTATGTTTTATAGCTCACTACTGGCACCAAATAAAAACCACGTGTGTTGCTTTGTGCAAGGAATATTATTGAAAGAAGTGTATATAGCTACCTCATAATGGTGAATTTTAGCCTAAAAGAAAGCAAGATGCGGTATATAATTCATCTCATTTACACTCATTCCTCATGTCAAGAAGAGAAAATAAACACATGCCAAAACTTGTATAATTGCCAACAAAAGTTGTGACAATATTCAAATTAAACAAATGGAGCCTGATTAGAGACAACAAATGCAAAAAAAATGAGTTGTGTTATAGATGCGCTAGTCACTTGCATTATGGTCTTGAATAAGTGACAATATAAATATTATTTCACAAGGCACGTAGTCAACTAAAGTGTTTTTCATGGATTTACGAAAAAAAACAAGATTAAAATAACTGAATAGGAGAATTTAGCTAGGGTGTCAAACATGCGGAATGAGTTAGTGATTTGACATTTGATTTCACAATATTACTCGTCTGGTATTTGATTTGTTATTAACTCCCATGGATGAAGACAACTACATTGATTGATAATGCAGTGAAGGCTATAAGCTTGTCTAGCTAGCAAACGAAGAGTGAAGAGTGAAGACTATTGTATTGAATGATAACATATACTACTAAACAATATGGCTAAAAGTTTGTCTATCTAGCAAAGGACAATTGGTTGCAACTAAGTTTAACTTGTTAGAGAACACTAAAGAATTTCAATGAAGGTATTTGAGCATCCATGTACAGAACAGAAGAAGATTAAGTTATTCCTGTAATATGAAGACTAAGAATGAATAATCACCTGGCGGATAGAAACTCCTGAAACAATGATAGTTACTATAATGAGGGTATTCACAGAGTTTCCTAGACTACATTGACTTAAGTTGAACCATATAAACGTTGTCGTCCACAGATAAAAGAAATTCATTAGTATCCTCGACGTATCCCACTATACGTTTCATGGTTGCCTTATTTCCTTCAATCTGAGGAGGGAGCCCAGGAATGTCATGCATGTCAATGGTCTTCAACATCATCCATGTGACAACACCATGGCAACTCACATCCATTTGCCACATTTGGAAGCGAGTGTAAGACAATATGGCCATGGCAACGGCGCCATCCTCAAGTTGGATTATCCAATGGCTGGCATGGTAGACATCATTTGCAATGGTAGGCCCGTTGATCACAGCTAGGCTCTTCTCATCCAAATCAAACTTAAGCATGCCATCGCTTATAATATCCAACAACCAGTAAAGGGCATTACCAACAAGGAACCCAGGGATATGATCGAAAACAAGCCTATGTGGAACATCTCCCGAGATGATATCACCCCATGTGCCAATCTTTGAGGAGTAAACACAGGCAATGGGCCTATTAACGCCTCCAGAATAGGAGATCAGCACCACCTTGAAGGGGCTCAAGTGGCAGCTTCCGTGCACGTGGTCACGTTCGGTGGTAGCACAGAGACGGCCCCATTGACGACATATGTTCCTTCGAACTTTGGCGGAAACGACAGGCCATGCTGCTCACCGGTGATGGGGTCACAAACGATGACCTTACGCCGCTCTGTCTCCGTGAGAAGGAGAAGGACACGGCCATGGCGGCAATCGAGCAGGTTGACTATCAACTGCGTGCCACTTTCGACATCGCGGGGCCGCAGGTCGAATCGCTGAGGCGGGATGCGGTCCGGAGGGTCCAGAACAGGGGTAAAGACGACATCGTATATGCGTATGTGGATGAAGCCAAGGAGGGGCGGCTTCTGGTGGTGGACGCGGAAGCAGTGTAGGAACTTGGGGTCGGTGACGAGGTGCTGCCAGCGTTTGCAGACGGCGGAGGCGCACGGGAGGGAGCATGGCTGCGGAGGGAGACGCAGAAGGATCTCCCTGAGGAGATCTTCGACTTCAAGCGGGCACACAGGCGCCGCCGGCGAGCATCCTCTTCGTCGGGCCGCTTCGGCGCCCTCCTCGGTGGCGTCGATTTGTCGAAGCTGCTGCTGCGCCATCGTGGCTCGCGTTCGTTTGGGCGTCGCGAAGACCTGCCTTTGTTTTAGGGTTGCGAAGACCTGCCCTTAGCGAGAGGAGTACTTGACGGGGGGCGGAGTGGGCTTCGTTCGGTCAAGTACCACATTTTTTTGATGGGGGCCCGGACTCATCCCACATTTTCTGTAGAACAATTGTAGTTCAGTTTTGCCTCAAAAAAAATTTGTAGTTCAGTTTCGTGAGACAAAACTATATGTGAAGTTTTACTCAATAGAAAAAAAAACTATATACTCCCTCCGTCTCAAAATAAGTGTCTTAACTTTGTACTAGCTCTATCACAAAGTTGTACTAACCTTGACACACTTATTTTGGGACGGAGGGAGTATGAAATTACACTAAAAAAACTATTCATGATCTAAACGCTCTTATATTTCTTTACGGAGGGAGTATATATGAAGTTGATTTTTTCTCAAATCAAAGAAAATGAAGTTGGTTTTTTGTACAGTTTTCTCCCTAGATGTTAATTCCAGTGAAGTTCACGCCTCTTAGTATATCCATTTGGCATATCGCTCCTTCACTTTGTCCAGGCGACATCGACTGAGCCATGAGAGCTTTGATATCCATTTGGCATATCGCTCATTCAAAACCTTGAAGAATACAACCTTCTGCCAAGCCTTGCGGCCTTGGCATGTGTGGCCAGCCACTATGCCGCTTTGTTCATTTCAATACAAATTTCAGGCTTATTGCAGGAGCTCGCCGCGTTTCCGTTCGTCCAGGCTTATCTGCTTGGAGCTTCGGTTTCATCAGGCAAACTATGGAGCCACCAGTTCAAATAAATGCCGATCCATCATAAAAAGATGGGGTGCTCTGATGCTCCTATGCACTATCGAACTCGCACCGCTACATCCCTGGAATTGTTTAGCAAACCACTAGAGCTTCTGAACACTACCGAATGATAGCAACGCTAATTGTTTTAGGACCAATATAGCCACGCTATTTATTACTCAGTCTGGTATACTATATCGCTTACATTTTTTGAGTTGTTTTAAAACAATTTGGAAAAGGTTGTTTTATGAAAAAAGAAAGTTCATCAAATTTTGAAAAAAAGTTCATGAATTTTTGAAAAAGTTTATCAATTTTGAAAAAACTTCATTAGTTTGAAAAAAGTTCATCAATTTTGAAAAAAATTCATTAGTTTTGAAAAAAGGTTCATCAATTTTGAAAAAAGTTCATCAACTTTTTATAAAAAGATCATTGAATTGGGAAAAAGTTCATCAACTTCAAAAAAGGTTAATCGATTTGGAAAAAAAAGTTCATTGATTTCGAAAAATTACCGATTTTGAAATCAAGTTCATTGATTTGAAAAAAAGTTCATCGAATTTAAAAATGCATCAAAATTGAAGAAAAAAATCTTCGACTTGAAAAAATGTTCATCGAATTTGAAAATAATTGTGCATTTTGAAATAAGAAACTAAAGGAAAAAGGGAAAAGGAAAAGGAAAAAGATGAAATAAAAGAAACAGAAAAGGAGAAAAACTAAAACAAAAAACGGGTCCAGAAAAATCGACAATGAAAGAAGAGAAAACCCGGCTAAAGGAAGTATAGAAGAAGAAAAGGAAATACATTATCATAATGGTTTTCCCTAGTTGGATAGTGTCAGTTACACTTAAGGTGGAGATCGCGGGTTTAAATCTCTCTCGCGCACATATTTTGCGTATTAAACCAGAAAAAAACTGAAATGGGCCAGCCCAACGCAGGGGAAGGGCTGTGCGCCGGTTTGCCAAATGCCCTATATCGGAGCCTGGAGCGCTATAGGAAACGCCAAGAAGAAGATACTAAACCAAACCAAAAAACCAACGGGGACAGTAAACCAGCCGATGTCGTAAGCCCAATCAGCACTGAAGCGTGGGCCTAAATGGTCGGAATAGGGAAAACATTTAAAAGGGGTAATTAGTGGCACGAGTTCGCTTAAAATTGCTTAAAAATGTGAAAAATCTGCTAAATGAGGTAATTGTTGTCAATCATGATAATGCAATGAACACTAAAAATAATAAAAATTACATCCAAATCCGTAGACCGCCTAGCAACGACTACAAGCACTGAAGTGAGCCGAAGGCGCGCCACTATCATCTCCCCTCTCTTGCCGAAGCGGGACAAAATACTTATTATAGTAGACAGTCGGGAAGCCATTGTGCTAAGGCCCCATAGGACCAGTGCAACAGAACAACAACCACAGAGACGATGAAGAGCAGCATATATCAAAAGAATCCAACTTGAAGACACAAGAACATAGACGAGCGACGACCAGGTCCGAGCAAATCCACCAAAGACAGATTTGGCGGAACACACCTCCACATGCCCACTGACGATGTTAGAAGCACCACGGGAATGGGGCCTAGGCGGGAAGAACGTTATTCCATCTTTAGGGAGCCGCCGCTGTCTCACCTTCCTGAGCAGGACACAAACCCTAACAAAACTCGGAGAAAGATCTAAAAATAAAGCCCTCCCACCGGCAAGGACCAAGATCCACTCCGTCCCCATGGCCCTAATGCGACTGGAGACGAGGCAGACCGACGGCAGTGTCGACGGAAGTAGAGGAACCCTAACTTTTTAGGGTAGGCGGCGACTGTAGGGAACTATGCACTCGTGTGTTGTAAAAAATGGAATTAACTCTAAAACGTTCTGTACTAGCAGATAGACTGTCAAGCTGTCCTCAGTTTACGTGTGTTTCTTCCTCCTTTAGCAAATACACAAAATGACAAAATAGATAAACTAAAGCTTTCTCATTCCAGTTGATGCAATATGTAACAGAGATAACGATAATGGTGATAGCTGCGTCGCGGAGGAACTTGTTTCGACTGCGAATGCAACCTCCTACGGTGTTCTACGTTGCAAGCCTAAGTCTCAGGGTAAGAAAGCAAGTTCCAGCTGATAGCTGATATGTGGCCTTATAACGGAGGAGTTCCTGCAGAGATCAATGCAACAGTGTTGGTGTGATTTAGGCAACTGCAGAAGAAGAAATTAGGTTTTATTCCTACTGTGACCAAATTCCTGCGATAATCTGCAACTAATATGCAACCTCACGCTCTCAGGGTGAAAATTACATCCAAGAATGCAAACTCTGCCGTCCAGTGACTTGTAGACCGTGGCAGAGATCGAATGGATGCATATTTGATTTGATCTGATTCTCTGCCATGCAGACCACGTTTCAACTGTACTGTATTTTTTTCTGCCAATATAACATGTGAGTCAATGTGATCTAATGTTCTTCCATGAAAAACATAGGATGCAGATAGGATCTAATGTTCTTCCGTGCAAAAAAAAATTTATCTCTACTAAAATGACTGAACATGTGGACAGAAGACCATTTCCCTCTCTCTAATCTACTCCCTGCGTATCAAAAAATAAGACCTTTTTTGACACTATTTTGATAGAGGGAGTAATATCCTAGAGAGCGTTATTTCAACTTTTTAAGTAGGCAGGCCCATACTTGTCTGCAGTAATTCCCTGCTATTAATCTTGAGGACAAATGGGCACAAGTGGATCGTGACCACTTCAGATAGACAGTACATGCTTTTCAAACCACAGCTGAAAAGAATACACAACAATACAAGTCTAGGCGATGCTTACTGCTGAAACTCTCATGGCTTACACAAAACATCGACTGTAATGTCGTGCTTTTCATACCACAGCCGAGAAGAATACACAAACTGACAAACATATAATTAAGTTTAGGTCATATTTGGGCCCAAGAGACGAGCCTCCAAGCACAAGCATATAAAGAAAACAAGATGGGGCTGAAAACCGACTTCAAATAATACTACTAGGTTAAGCTGAAATTCCCTGGATTAGAAACTTGGCTCGACTGGCATGATAAGTTTTTTTCTTGCAGATAACATATAAATAGTGCCAACCACATCGATGTGATGGAACAAACCTGGTGAGAACTGCAGCAGTCATTCCCTCACCTGCAGGAACAAACTCATTATTAGTTCAGCAACATAAACAAGAGCACTGTAACACAATCTCCTGTGAATACTGATGACAAAATAATAAATGTTTGAGCCTTTTGACACTACATTTGTTTAGGTATGGGTATTCAGTTTGAAATAAATGGAGCCTAATTAGAGACACAAGAAATGCAATTATTTCTCATGTGCTACAGATGTACTAGTCACTTGCAGGGGGTGTTCAACAACTAACAAAGAGAACTATTGGGATCAAGGAAAGTTGGTATTATGGAGTTCAGAAATAATCATTTTCAAATGGGGCCAAACAAGGAGTTCTCTCGGGCTCTGTTTGGATGTAGACATTGGAGAGCTGCATTGAATTGGCTCCAGTACCAAATATCTTGATGTACTGATATTGAGCTTGAATGTCAATTCTAATGTTTGGATGGCATGTATTTGGCACTTGGAATCCATGGTGGCACTTGGAATCCATGGCAGCTTACCAATGCCAAATCCTATCCATGGCAGCTTACCAATGCCAAATCCTGTTTGGATGGTGAAACTGTTGAATTGCACATTTAAACGAGTACGATCATTATACTCCATAATGACAACAACTAATTATTTCCGATGTAAAAAAATCTCTAACTAATTATTCAGATGATATTCTTAATTCAGATGATATTCTTACCTGTTGAACCATTTCGGCACACTAGCACATAAACCAGACAGTCATCCACTCATCCTATGTATCGTGCAATGTTTCAGTTCCATTACATAAGCAAAGAGTGGTTGTTCCTAGAAGCATAAGAAGATATAACATTTTTGAGGAAAAAAGACAAATGATTAAGAGAAGGCAACAATGAGACAGTGAAAAAGATGAGGTGCCAAATATAGCTAAATCAATGATGACTTAGAAAGAAAGACGAGTAGAGGGCATGTGCACCACGGCCAATCTGATTTCGTTGTGAAAGTTGTTCTTCTTTCCCTTAGTTCACATTGTAATATTTAGAGTGACATAATACTACTAATGATTATACTGCAAGAAAGGACCCTTTCTCAAAGTCTTACAGAAAATCACTGACAAGGGCCGGCTCGGGGCACGTTAGAGACCTCATCTACTGCTGTTGCTTAGAGCTGAACTGGCCGAGGTCGCTGCCAGTCCCAGGCTAGTGCTTGTCTATCTGATGTGCTGATCCTTTCATTCCTAGTTTTGCTGCTGGTTGATCTGTGGAAATGAATGATGAATGCACCACGCAGGTAAAGCACCGAAATGTGCAGAGCTCCAGATCACGACAGTGTTTTACTCCTTCCGCTCGGAAATATTTATCCTTGTAGAAATGGACAGAGTCTCTAACATGATTCTCTCCAGAAAACTCACCAAAAACTAACACCTACAGTGGCGGCCTCAGCCTTAAGGTCATGAGAACTTAAGTTGGGCTCGTGCCGTTCCCGTCACGGTATTTCAAATCGATTCCAATCTTTGCTCCCTATACTCATCAAAATTGCATGAAACTTCAGCTGAGAATACGTCAAGCAGCAAATAGCATCCAAAGCATTGGACTACCAGCAGCAAAACAAATCTCACTCTCAGGACATGAAAGTGCTTACCCCAGCTTCCAAATTTCTGCCCGAACTGATTGCGTGCCTGCACATACACATCCACAAAAGGACCGGAGAATCATATGCATCCAGGTGACCACATCCAAAAAAATAAACAAGGTCCATGCCTCAAAAAAGACACTAAATGAAGAGAATGCTTGGGAACTGGATACCACGAGTTAATCTAGGAAAGCTTGCTACAGGATATATGTGTTCGAATGAGAAAACAAATATAGAAAAATTAGTTGACGTGAAATTACATTTGAAATATTCTTAACAATGATAGTATGTGAGAAAAACAGGTTTGAACATGTTACTGCCATATAAACTCCGTGCACAGAACTAACATGGAAACCGACAAGTGGCACCACACGAAGCAAAACCACACATTATATATTGTTCTTCAAGGTTTGAAAACAAAGTTAAATGAAAACTTTCTGCTGCAAGTTCCCGTTCACAGCAGAATGCATGCACTGCCAGTCTGCCACACAGGCGTAGAAAATCACTGCATTTACACATACAGTTGTAACCATTAATTATTGTGAATTAAATATGGATTGTTTGAAAATTAACAAATGTTTTGCTAACCAAGTTGCCTACTAGACACTACTCCCTCCATCCCATAATGTAAGACGTATTTCGACACTAGTGTACTGTCAAAAAACATCTTACATTATGGGACACTAGTGTAGTGTCAAAAAACATCTTACTTTATGGGACGGAGGGAGTACATTTTACACAAAGTTCTAACCATTTATTATTGCAAATTAAATACAAAATTATGAAAAATGGTAGAGATAAATAAGCTGCTAAATGTTAAACAGTAACAAACATGAAATCTGCTTGCCCAAGTCTGTGACATATATACAATACTAGAAAAGGAAGTGGGCGAAGAGAACATTTTGCCAACGACTAGCGCTCTGTACGGCTGATCAGCAGGGAGGCTAAAACCAAGGTATTTGTTAAGGATATCATGAGATCAGCAGACTAAATATTTCAATAGTCTCTGAATTCTTGTCTTCTGACAATCATTGAAAAAGAAATTGAAATTGTATGTAGCTTAAAATATTTAAGATGGTCTCTGCCAAAAGCATTTGAAAATCTGAAATCCAACTACATAGAGTTTTGAGTGACTACACACTGAACATCACCAAACTATTTCTCTAATGTATTTTCCATAATAATATGAATCCATGTGTACACATGAGCCATGCAAGATTCTTTTCCTGGCATATGATACCAAATGCATTAAAATAGAAGTAGATAAACCGATAGAATTACCTTCATTGTGCTTCAGTTCTTTCCTCTCCAGGCTGTTCATTGATCAGCCCAACTGAATAGACATGGCACTGTTTGTTCGGACGAATTTGATGAGTTTATTTTCAGAGCATACCACAGAAGACCTGTCAGAGTCTTTTTTCCAGAAAATAGCAGAGAAGACTTGCCAAACACAGCCATGGCATAAAAGATACAACGGAATCTGTCTTGAACTTCCTTCGAATATATATTAAAAAGCTCTTGTTACATTACAAACTTAGTTAGGCTACGGCACAAGCACAGTACGTTCTTCCACATAAAATATATACACACTGCCGACCACATTGATGCAACACGACAAACTTGTGAGAACAGCTGCTGCCCTTAATTACTTCACCTGGAGATAACAAAATTGCTAATCCATTAGTAGATACTACAAATATAGACAAGACCTAATGGTAGCACCTATGCAGCAGCATACATGGTTAAAAACAGTCAATGAGCAAGTTGTGTGTGCGTCGTAAAATGAAATGGATATCATACTCCTCCAGTCCTCCTATACAAATGACAGCGAAGTAAATCAGTGAAGCCCTTTGATATTGTAATTTACTTGGGTGGGATAGTCGAATGCTACTAATGTCTTCTCTGGCTGATTCTAAAATAGCTAAACCAAGGGGGAATTCTAGGCATGGCCAAATACGCACAACCAGGCAATATCAACAGCAACACAACACCATGTGAAACATCTGCACATCATTTATGACTCAAAATTGTTTTAATTGTTGTATCCGTCACCAACATCTGTGAAACCCTATAGCCGGATGAGCAATAATTCGTAGGTGCAGGCTGCCCACATGGGCTGCCAGAGAGTTTCCATACAAAAAATTAAACAATATAGACGACTAGACCTCACAAACTATATCTCGAAGATCTTGTTACCTGTTGAACCATTCGAGCACATTATCACATGCAACCAGACAGTCATCCTACATATCGTGCAACATCTCAGCTCCATTGCATCCACCAGGAATGGCTGTGACCAGACGCATAAGAAGTCAGACGATTAATAAAAGCTACAAGGGCATAAGAGAAGGCACAGTGAGTCAGTTACATAGATGAACCGACAAAATAACTACTCAGCTTTTTATAAATGTACTATAACCCACTTTTGATGCTTACAATAATAAACAAAACCACATAATTTTTAAATGCGCAGACCGTTCCTGAAAACAGTAATATTTAGCTACCTCATAAAGAAAGTTTTCTCTTGTAAGAAAAAAAAGACTGCCTAGAATTTATCCCACATATCCAGGTGACAAAGGTAATAGCACACCCAAACTAAAAAATTCTACAATAGCTTATTAGAGACAAAAAAATCAAAAAAAAAATGTGCGTGTAGTAGTACAAGTGTACTAGTCACTTGCAGCAGGGATCTTCAACAAGTACCAAAAAACTGCTATTTCAGAAGTTATTCCATCAACCATTTTTGTGACATTATTGGAGTTGGTTACTACCACACCACAAAGACTAAGGATGAGCAATCACCTGGCGCATAGAAACTTGTGAAAGGGTGACATCTATTATTGGGAGTATAGCTTCGATAAAGTTTCTTGGATTGCATCGACATCAGTTGAACCATGTAGACACTGGCATCCACATGTAAAAATATTACACCATTATCCTCATCATACCCCATAATTTGTATCCATCTCGTCAATCTCTCAAGCTGATGAGAGAGCCCAAGAACAAGATGCATTTGAATGCTCTTGTGATTTAACCATGTGGCAACACCATGACGATCAATCTTCCTCTGCCACATTTCAAATCTACCATAAAACACCACGGTGAGACCAACAAAACCATCGTCTGCCTTGCTGATCTGATGTCTGAGTGAGTTATTGAGACAGGGAGGCCCCTTGATCACAGCTAGGCTATGTGTATCCAAATCAAACTCAATTATATCATTTGTGAGCCTATCTAAACCCCACAAACCTTCACCGTCACACACAGACTTAGACGACCAGTAAAGGGCATTACCAACAAGAATCCCGGGATTAGCATCAACAAGCCCGCATCGAGCGTCTGTGGAAATGAGATTGCCCCACACACCAGCCTCCGAGGAGTAAACACAAGCGACCGGCCGATTATCCTTTCTATACATGGACACCAAGACCACCTTGAATGGGCTCCAATGGCAGCTGCCGTGCACGTGGCCAAGCTCGCCCGCAGCACAGAGCACCGTCGCATGGACAAAGTCCCTCTTGAACTCCGTGGGAACCGCCAAACGGCGCTGCTCGCCCGTGATGGGGGCGTAGACAACAAAGTCTGCGTGCACATCGTCCATGATGAGAAGGCAGCCGTGGCGGCACCCGAGCAGCTGGGCCCTGGAGCGGATGCCGGTTTCGACGCAGTGACGTCGCAGGTCGAAGCGCTGAGGAGGGATCCGGTCGGGAGGGTCGAGGATGGGCGTGAACTCAATCCACTTGTCGCGGCGCTTGAAGGAGCGACGATTAAGGCGACCACACGAGTCGATCTCCCAGTCGAGGGGCTCGAAGACGCCGAGGAGGGGCGGCTTGCGGTGGCGGGCAGAGAAGCCGCGGAGGAACCGGGGGTCGGCGGCGACGCGGAGCCAGCGCTTGCAGGCGGCGGCGGCGCGTGGGAGGGAGGACGGCTGCGGCGGGAGGCGGAGGAGGATCTCCCGGAGGAGATCGTCGCTGGCCGGCAGGGAGTCAGCCGCCTCCGGCGAGGTTCCGCGGCGGCGGCGGCGGGCCACTCGGGCGGCCTCCCCATCCCCACTCGCGTGGATTTGGGGATGGAATCGCGGGCTGCGACGTCGGGTCACTCCGGCGCCCTCCTCATTACCGTGGATCTGAGGGTGGAGGGGCGTGCCGCGGCGGTGGCGGCGGGTCACTCCGGAGACCTCCTTGCTCGCGAGGGTTTGGGGATGGAGGCGCGGGCTGCAACGGCGTGTTGCAATTTCGGGTTCCTCCTCATTCGCGTGGATCCGGCGGTGGAGGCGCGTGCTGCAGCGAGGGCAGTTCGCTCCGGCGGCCTCGTCCGCCATTTGGATTTGGGGACAGAGGCGCCGGCGAGAACGGACTGGTGGAGTGGTGGAGAGCCCAACCGGCGGTGGAGGCGGCTGCTTGTTGCCCTCGTTTCTTTCCTTTTTCTTGGATGGATGGATGGATGGATGGCAGCCCAACCGTAGTAGTAACTGGTATTGTGGCATTGTTCAAATTTAATCAGTTTGCTTTCTAGAGATTTTATGATTTCAATTTTTAAACCATGCAATGTGACTCAGTGCCAAACCAACTATTACCACGACACAACGTTTTTTCTACACAATGATCAACACCGGCTCGGTACATATTATTTCTATAGATTTGATTTTGTTATTTATAGCACCGGTTCGATTTTGTTTACACCCAACACGAACCGTGAAAAAAAATCAAATTGTATTCCTTCCTCTCTTTTGTGCGAGATAGTGTGTGATTATGGTCAATGAAGTCAAAACACATTCAAATATTTTCCTCGCCGAAAAGAAGAGCTGACAAATCTGACCATATTTTCTTCCGAGGGAAACATGAGCCCAACCATGTAAAGAAACGAAAAGCATAATATAAAAAAAATCTAACTCGGGTATTTCTTTGGTAAGCTGAAATTACTTGGATTTGGTACTCAAAAGTAAAAGTTAACTATGCTCAACTTCTACTTCTACATTGGTTTAAAAAAAAGTAAAAGTAAAGATAATTGTTTTGTTTCACTCATATAGCTATCTAGTTTAACTTACCAACCCAAATACTAAATAAGAAAAGGAATATAAATAGTTAATGGATTTTATAGGAAAAAGATCCATTTTAACGAATCACACGTAGAGATATTGCTAGCACACAAAAAGTTAATGATATTTCATAACTAATGGATTGAGCAGCAGCTCGTAGACCGCCTGAAAAAGAATATTTATTATTTGAGCTATACCCTGCCATAAACAAGAACCTCACACCACCCTTAGGCATTTCAAGGACGTGTATGAAGTTAGTGAGTAATTAAACTATTTAGTTTAGTTATTTATAATGAGAACCGGATTATAAAGAATAAAAAATAAGCTAACAATCCGAATGTTATAATGCAGAGGTTGGATGTTGCTCATCATGCTCTGTTCCCGCTTGATGCTATATTTTGAATTAATAAAAGCATCCTTTATCAGAAGAAAATAATGCCATTATAATGCAAGAATCATGTACGTTGCTGTAAGATTTCAAAGCACAAAAAGTGGATGGCAGGTTTCAACATCAACAAAGGTTTAATGTATCGTGGAGTTTGAAGATGAGTTCTAACAACTTCCAAAAATTTATTAGTATTCCACAAGTCTTGAAAGGCGGAGGTAAAGACGGCCATCTTCCTGACAAGTTCCAGCATTTGTTTATCAAACTTAATTGGCACAACATTAAAAACAAGGCTAATCAATAGAACTTATTGGCAAATGAACAAAATTGTACATTGACTTCGCCTTAAGTCCCTAACCATCGGCAGACTCTACCGATAGACAGTGTATTGTTCGTAAATATATAAACCGTGGGGGATTGCAAGCCCAAAGCATTTGAGATTTTCATGATGTCTCAAGCTTATAGTGGTGGTTTCCGATCGTTCATAGCCTTATAATATGTAAACTCTTTTTAGTCGATGCGATGAGGCCAAGTTGTTGCCCCCTTTAAAACATGGAATTGTAGTGTTTGCATTTGTATTCCACAAACAACTTGCTGACATGGCTAACTCTAATCAAATATGGCAATATTTTCCAAAACAACATGCACCTTATGGTATATCACTAGTAGAAAACAGGGCATTTGTCCCGGTTCGTAAGGGCCTTTAGTCCCGGTTCTTGAACCGGGACTAATAGGTCGTTACTAATGCCTCCCCCTTTAGTCCTGGTTCGTAAGGGCCTTTAGTCCCGGTTCTTGAACCGGGACTAATAGGTCGTTACTAATGCCTCCCCTTTTAGTCCCGGTTCTTACACGAACCGGTACAGATGGGCATCCACGTGGCCGCTGCGGGCAGCCCAGGCAGGGGGGCCTTTGGTCCCGGTTGGTGACAAAAACCAGGACCAAAAAACTGTTGGAAATATGCCCTAGAGGCAATAATAAAAGGATTATTATTATATTTCCTTGTTCATGATAATTGTCTTTTATTCATGCTATAATTGTGTTATCCGGAAATCGTAATACATGTGTGAATACATAGACCACAATATGTCCCTAGTGAGCCTCTAGGTGACTATAAAGGTGTACTACGGGTATCTTCGAAAGTGTCTGTTGGGTTGACACGGATCGAGACTGGGATTTGTCACTCCGTATGACGGAGAGGTATCTCTGGGCCCACTCGGTAATGCATCATCATAATGAGCTCAAAGTGACCAAGTGTCTGGTCACGGGGTCATGCATTACGGTACGAGTAAAGTGACTTGCCGGTAACGAGATTGAACGAGGTATTGGGATACCGACGATTGAATCTCGGGCAAGTAACATACCGATTGACAAAGGGAAATTGTATACGGGGTTGCTTGAATCCTCGACATCGTGGTTCATCTGATGAGATCAACGAGGAGCATGTGGGAGCCAACATGGGTATCCAGATCCCGCTGTTGGTTATTGACCGGAGAGCCGTCTCGGTCATGTCTACGTGTCTCCCGAACCCGTAGGGTCTACACACTTAAGGTTCGGTGACGCTAGGGTTGTAGAGATATTAGTATGCAGCAAATCGAAAGTTGTTCAGAGTCCCGAATGAGATCCCGGACGCCACGAGGAGTTCCGGAATGGTCCAGAGGTAAAGAATTATATATGGGAAGCCGAGTTTCGGCCATCGGGAAAGTTTCGGAGGTCATCGATATTGTACCGGGACCACCGGAAGGGTCCCGGGGGTCCACCGGGTGGGGCCACCTATCCAGGAGGGCCCCATGGGCTGAAGTGGGAGGGGAACCAGCCCCTCGTGGGCTGGTGCGCCCCCCTTGGGCCCCCCTGCGCCTAGGGTTGGGAACCCTAGGGGAGGGGGCGCCTCCACTTGCCTTGGAGGGCAAGGCACCCCCCTTGGCCGCCGCCCCCCCTTGGAGATTCAATCTCCTAGGGCCGGCGCCCCCCCAAGGGTCCCTATATAAAGAGGGGGAAGGAGGGCAGGCTCACCCTTGCACTTGGCGCCTCCCTTCCCCCTTGCTACACCTCTCCCTTCCGCAGACGCTTGGCGAAGTCCTGCCGGGATCCCTGCTGCATCCACCACCATGCCGTCGTGCTGCTGGATCTTCATCAACCTTTCCTTCCCCCTTGCTGGATCAGGAAGGAGGAGACATCTCCCTGACCGTACGTGTGTTGAACGCGGAGGTGCCATCCGTTGGGCGCTAAGGATCTCCGGTGATTTGGATCACGACGAGTACGACTCCCTCAACCCCGTTCCCTTGAACGCTTCCGCTCCATCTACAAGGGTATGTAGATGCACTCCTCTCTCTTGTTGCTAGATGAACTCATAGATTGATCTTGGTGAAACCGTAGGAAAAAAATAATTTTCTGCAATGTTCCCCAACAGTGGCATCATGAGCTAGGTCTATGCGTAGTTCTCTTTGCACGAGTAGAACACAAATTTGTTGTGGGCGTAGATGTTGTCAACTTTCTTGCCACTACTAGTCTTATTTTGCTTCAGCGATATTGTGGGATGAAGCGGCCCGGACCGACCTTACACGTACGCTTACGTGAGACAGGTTCCACCGACTGACATGCACTAGTTGCATAAGGTGGCTAGCGGGTGTCTGTCTCTCCCACTTTAGTTGGAGCGGATTCGATGAAAAGGGTCCTTATGAAGGGTAAATAGAAGTTGACAAATCACGTTGTTGATTTTTCGTAGGTAAGAAAACGTTCTTGCTAGAACCCTGTTGCAGCCACGTAAAAGATGCAACAACAATTAGAGGACGTCTAACTTGTTTTTGCAGCAATTGTTTTTGTGATGTGATATGGCCAAAAGTTGTGATGAATGATGAATGATATATTGTGATGTATGAGATCATGTTCTTGTAATAGGAATCACGACTTGCATGTCGATGAGTATGACAACCGACATGAGCCATAGAAGTTGTCTTAATTATTGTATGACCTGCGTGTCAATGATTTAAATGTAATTAGTTTACTTCATTGCTAAACCATTAGCCATAGTAGTAGAAGTAATAGTTGGCGAGCAACTTCATGGAGACACAATGATGGAGATCATGATGATGGAGATCATGGTGTCATGCCGGTGACGAAGATGATCATGGAGCCCCGAAGATGGAGATCAAAGGAGCTATATGATATTGGCCATATCATGTCACTACTATTTGATTGCATGTGAAGTTTATCATGTTTTTGCATCTTGTTTACTTAGAACGACAGTAGTAAATAAGATGATCCCTCATAATAATTTCAAGAAAGTGTTCCCCCTAACTGTGCGCCGTTGCGACAGTTCATTGTTTTGAAGCACCACATGATGATCGGGTGTGATAGATTCTAACATTCACATACAATGGGTGTAAGACAGATTTACACATGCAAAAAACACTTAGGTTAACTTGACGAGCCTAGCATGTACAGACATGGCCTTGGAACACAGAGACCGAAAGGTCGAACATGAGTCGTATGGGAGATACAATCAACATGGAGATGTTCACCGATGATGACTAGTCAGTCTCACGTGATGATCGGACACGGCCTAGTCGACTCGAATCATGTAACACTTAGATGACTAGAGGGATGTCTAATCTGAGTGGGAGTTCATTAAATAATTTGATTAGATAAACTTAATTATCATGAACTTAGTCTAAAATCTTTGCAAAAATGTCTTGTAGATCAAATGGCCAAGGCTCATGTCAACATGAACTTCAACGCGTTCCTAGAGAAAACCAAGCTGAAAGATGATGGCAGCAACTATACGGGCTGGGTCCGGAACCTGAGGATCATCCTCATAGCTGCCAAGAAAGCATATGTCCTAGAAGGACCGCTAGGTGAGCATCCCAGAGAACCAAGACGTTATGAACGCTTGGCAGTCACG